CAAATGGAAGTTCTCTATGTCAAGAACTTACAGAAATATGGACTTCAGAGTTCCCCTCTAATCCAGTTTAGCATTAAACTGCCCTCCTATTTTCTTCAGCAGTATATTCTTTACATGGAAAACTTCAACATGAAGAATCTGGGCAAAGAAATTTTCTCAGGTGGATTCAGTGGAGATAAAACCACTGCTCACAGTCATTGGTACAATCGCTGGTTCTCACTGATTGACTAAGTAAACCAACCGCCTAAAACTAGGTGCGAATGTTCTAGCTATTTTCCACCTGGCATCCCAGGCATATATGTAATTTTAAAACTTGTTTCTCTGAAAGGTAAACAAAGAACAAGTTAAATGTTATATCTGTCATGTAAACTGAGTTTCCTAAAAACTTTTTAATCCCCCTATTATCTTAATACAACCTACAGGGAATTCTAAACAGATTCAAATGACAGGGTAACAATGAGTCCTTTCAAGACCACTTTTCACCAGCTGGCTTACCAGAGAGCAAATTCTAAGGGCAGAGATCTCATCCCTTAACTCTGCATTTGCCCCCACTCTGGCCCAGCCCCACTTCACAGCCTTGCCCTCAGCTGGCCCTCACACTCACAGATGAGCTGGGCCTCATGCTGGTCTGGGTTTTACCTTGCACATCAGCATAGAGGGGCATTTCCCAAAAGCAAAGCCTGGCCAGCAATGATGCTGGGTGACGCAGCACCCCCAGCTATGATTTAGCCGTGGCAAGAGAAGGGATGGTTGCTCCCTGCCTACCAAATTCAATATTTAAATAAAATGAAATCTAGATGTGGTGGAGTCCCCATGATTTGACCCATTTCTCCTCTAGAACAAATGAATAAAGACAAGTCACCTACCCTCAGCTCTCTGTGCAGAGGAGGCTGGTCAGTCTTCCCAACACTGTGGCCCACCAAGTGCAACAGGCCCTGTCTTCCCCTTCCCATCCCAGGCCAGAGGCACAAAGGGACTCAACAGACTATTCCAAAGAGGGATTTCCTCACAAAAGACACTGCTGTTTTATACGGCCCTGTGACCCAAGTCTTCTCCTGGTGGTCCCATGATTCTAGGGTGCAAGTCTGGCTGTGTTATGAGGCTGTCCACCGGCACGGACCCAAACCTCTGAAACCTCAGCCGCACACCTAACACTTGATTTAACCATTTTCCCACTTCTCAGTGGGCCCGTGCACCCTTAAGGGACTGACTGTTAGCAGTAAACAAGGGTGCGAGGCAGCAAACAGCATTCCCTCTGCAGCAAAGCGGCTCACCATGCCCCTCGCGCAGTGGCAGTGGTCACCTCAGCTCAGCAAGTGGTGCTAGCAAGGAGCGCAGCAGGAAAAGGCCATGAGCAGTGTGATGAAGGCAGGCTGGGGAACGAGACACTTGAAATAGGACGTTGGAGACTGGACGGAAACACAGCAAGGGGGAGGGACACCTGACCAAGAAAGTTAAGCCACCCCTAAAACACTCCCCTCACCATTTCCAGGACCCCTCATCTCCAGGGTACATGGAGAGAACAAGTGTTGGCTCTCTCCTCCTCGTGTCCCTTCAATTCTCAAGTCCAAGCAGTTGCTGTTCCTTGACTCAAACACAGCCACGCCTGGGGGAGAGCCACGGGGGAAGGACAAAGCAGAACAGTCCTGGCTTCTGTTCAGATATGGCAAGGCTCAGAGGGGTCAAGGTCAGTTTGGTGCTTTCCGATCAACTCTTACTCTGGTGGGTGGAATCAGGCTCAACCTCTGCACCAGCTATATTAGCTAAATTAAGATCAATACATGTGGACATCACAGCGGAAGGCAAGAGGGAAAGGGCCATAGAACGTCATTCTTTGACAAATGTTGAAAACATAGAAAATATGTATTTCTACACATCAACCATCTCCATCTTTCAGGAACTTTAAGTAATTTGGGGTAAGTGATCACAAAAAGCAGCAATGACAGGGCCACCTCCAGGATGCTCAGCCCACGTGCTAGTCCTGATGTGTGGTCTGTGGGATCCCAGGCCTCATGGAGATGGATGGGCAGTCAGGATGGCACAGCTCAGGGCATCACTGCCAAAACGGGGCATCACTGCCAAAACGGAGCAGCACAGCCACTTTGGAGAACTCCACACTACACCCACAGTCACATTCACAGATGCTATCAGGCCACCTGGCCTAGTGTGGGCAGAAGTGGTTTATTTATGGTTTGGGTGGAAGCTCTAAAAAACCGAAAGTCACATTAAGCCTTGCTAGATTTCTCCATGCAGGTTAGGGGCCTGAAGACCAAGTTGCAGCACATACATGCTGAGCCTCAAAAACACATGAGGGGCTGGGCCATGCTGTGGTCAGATGTCCTGAGGAGCAAAGTCACACAGGACAAAGACACGTCCCCACCCCCAGGTCCTGATGCACGACAACCCTAGGGACTGGGGAAAGGGAAGGGCTAGAAGTTTGCAAAGTGTAAGCAGTATGAGCTCAGAAAGGAAGACGAGCTGGCTCCAAGGGGAGAACAGAAGGGAGAAAGCTTGCAGAGAGCTTGCAGTTGGGTGGTTTTGGCCAGTGAGGAAAGCCCACTTACACAAAGCAAGGAAGCTCTACACACACAGCGGCACACAGACAGAAGCAGGGCTTTACCTCCAAGCAAGAGATGTTTTTGAAGTAAGACAAATGAAGTCAGCCAAGCGAAGGTCAAGGATCCCCCTTTCCAACCTGATGGACTTTTGAGCTTAATTCTAAATCAGAAATCACTCTGTTCCTGTCCTCAGCATGGCTGGTGGAAACTTAAAATACCAAAAAAACTGGGGTCTCTTTCTGAGAGCCAGATGTCACCTCAGTGTCGGACCTCAGCGGAGATGGAACAAAATACCGTGTGATGTGATACCATGGACTTATGGAAATGAGGCTGCATTCCCCGGATGACCCTCCACGGAGAAGTCTGTGCCATTCCTTAATATGGTGACAGTCAGTCTGAAAGGCCACTTCTTTGATGCACCATAAAGAGCAAGAGCATGAGACAAGCTAGTTTAGCACCATTTATTAAGTGATCTCAGCTGTTGTTGTAGCTGCTGCATGTCAGCCTGTTCTTAAAACATAAAATGCTCTTCCAATTCCTCTTGTCCGGGACGGAAGGGTCTTCCAGGTGGCACACCAACAGAACAAGAGACTCCGATGACGCCGGCTTCAATGACGGTGCCATCCAGAGAGGGAGAGGGTCATGGCACATTCAACCGCGGCTTCCAGAGGTTTTGAAAAAGGAGCCTTTGGGAGCCCAGCCTGCCTGGCATTCTAGTGGAAGTGCAAAAGGTTGGCACGTTGGGAGAGAAAGAGAGGGAGCCGCGAGGGGAAAGTGGCATCTCGGTGTCAAGGAGGGGTTTCTGGCCCCTGTGGCTGCAAGGCTGGAGGACTAGGCAGACCTCTGATAAAGCAGCAAGCAGCAGACTAAGGCACCAAGCCCCAAGGCTAGCCTAGACTCTATGGACCTGTACACACTGCTAAAGAAGTCAGGAAGAGCTGCTTCAGGGTATTTGAAAGGGAGAAGAGTGGAGAGGGGAGAGTTGAAAAATATCTCTTTCCCTTTCCTATCTGGGTGAAAAGGTTGCTTGGGGGTGGGTTGGGGGGATGCGGGGGGCATTTGGGAACACAAGAGTCCTAGGAAAAGTAGGTGTGGATCTCTCCAGCCTAGACTGAGTCTGGCTGGAGGGCAGAAACTACTTGTATTCCAGAACAAAGAATAAGAAAAATCTGCCAAGAGAAAAAGAGTGCTGACCCATGGCTGCCAAGGCAAGCCCTCAGGGTCATAATGGCTAATAACTGCTAGTGGCTGTGATGAGCCACACCCAGCCATTTCAGACAGACCACCTCCTATGGCAGCATTCCCAGTTAAAAACTGGAGCTTAGCTGGTATGAGCCAGTTCCACCCACAACATGATCTGTAAATGCAGGGGAAAAGATTCCCATATGATCTGCCTGCTGAGCCATCATTGGGCTCATTACTATAATGCTTGTAATAACAGCGTGATGATGTTATTACTAACAATGATGAGAGCAATAATCCTTGACCCTGTTAGAGCATACTCCATCTGAGGACCTTCAATTACAAAGACTGAATCAGCCTCACAAACAACCCTGCTCAGTAAAGCACTCTTACCCCCCACTTTTCCGATGGGACACGTGAAGCGGAGTGGCAGACTTTTCAAAGGCACGCACTGGTATCTGAGTCAGAGGACAGAACTACACCTATGGGTCCTGACTCCTAGCTGCCTTGCTCTCCCTTCACATGTGAGAAAACTCTTTAACAGCCACTCCCCACAACGTGTCTGTAACACCCAGAGTTTATTTATGATCTTCGGTCACTGAAGGAGCAACCCTGGCCAGTGATTCTCACTTGTGGACGTCCAGCTCCACTCCCCTGAATCTCAGGTAGACTGCCAAGCTAACTTCCCCTCTGGCATTCCTGCTCCCCTTAAGAGTCTACCCTCACACACACACTATTCTACTTCCACTTCGACTTCAGCTCTGCACACAAGGAAATGGGAGTCATCATTCCTGGTAAAGAAGTCAATTTCCCAGGACAAAGAGAGCAGACTGAAGCTAACAAGTTAAAAAGACATGCAAAGTGGAGTGAGGGACAGACAGGGAGGAGGGCCTCACTGTTCAGTGAAATTATTTTATAAACTGCAAGAAAAAGAAGAGCACTTTGTCTTTCATTTTAAGATAGTGGTTAGTGAACGAAAGACAAGACAGCCTGTGTGAATACAGCAAGCCCAGGCGGTTCAGCTGGGACTCTGCAGAAGGGATCTCTCTCATCCAGAGCACCCAGGGTGCAGGCAGGCAGAGAACCACACCAGCAGAGAACTGCTATGAGTGGACAGAAGCACTGGGGGAAGACTGGTCTGTCCCTTCTCCTTAAGTCAGTCTCCTGGAAGACCATATTCCTCTGGACCCGACTAAGGACCTACTTTTGCTGAACTCAGGGACATGCCCCTCACACCCCCCAAACCCCCACAACACATACTTGATGCTGTCGGTGTGGGTTTTGTATTCCATAATGGTGTTGGGAGGTAGGTTAAGCACTCGCCGAAGCGTATCCCGTATTCGGGCCGTGGTGGCTTGATCGCTGGCAGTCTTATTCCATATGGAAATAATGTCCTCCTATAGGAGGGACGACAGAAGGATTCATCAAAGGAAACTGGAGGCAGTGAGAAGAGCAGAGGTAACACACGTGAAAGCAGACCTGCCCGCGAGGCGGCTTACCTGAAAGCGGACAGAGACCACAGCCCCGCAGATCTCCTCCCCAACCATGAACTGTTCCCCCAGCATAGCCAAGATGAGATTCTCCCAGCAGCGGGATGCCAAGCCCTTCCGCAGTCGAATTATCCATTTTCCACCATTTTTATTTGCATCATCCTGTAAAAAGAAAGTATTAAAAGTTAAAATATCATCTCACAGCATTAGGGCCAAGGATTCATGACCACTGAGAAGTCTTGCTGTTTTCCAACTATTCAACTCTACAGGAAAATGTGGTAGGACTATAGGCAGAAGAAACGAGAAAAAAGAAACACAAGGTGGGGATCCTTGCAACCAGCCATTAAAGAAAAACAGCCAAACAGACCCTTTAAAAATAATCCTCTTTTGGGAACTCCCTGGTGGTCCAGTGGCTAAGGCTCAGCACTTTCAGTGCCAGGTCTGGGTTCAATCTCTGGTCGGGGAACTAAGATCCCATAAGCCATACAGTGTGGCCAAAACAAACCAACCAACCCTCTTTGTTGAAAACTACATTAAAACGAAATAATGTCAGATTTCAAACACAGATCATTCCTTACTTCATTTGCTAAAAATTTATCAAGTGTCACCATGTCCCCAAATACAGACATGAAGTCACAATCTCTACCCAGATCCAGTCTAGTAAAGCAGATGGACAAGAAAACTAATTACAGTAGTATAGTCTGACAAGTACCGCTGTAACAGAGGCACACACAGGAAGTTTATGAAGAACAGGACAGTCAGAAACACCCAGGAACAGGAAAACATTTCAGCTGGGTTGTAAGGACACAGAAGTTAGCCAGGTGAAGGGCTCCGCGGGCACCAGGAAGGACACGGCTGTGTGCAAACACTGACTGTGAGGCGGAGACGCAAAGAGGAAGATCTAGCTACATGAAGGGAGGATCTGGAGAGGACAGGTGACAAGTGCTAAAAGGTAATTAGGTGTAAGATCATGTGTGCAACAGAAAACTGCATAAGATTTTTAATTAAGGTATGTGTGTGTGTGTTGTGGGGGCAGGGGTTCCCTGGTGGCTCAGATGGTAAAGAATCAGCCTGCAATGCAGGAGACCTGGGTTCGATCCCTGGGTCAGGAAGATCCCCTGAAGGAATGGCTCCCCACTTCAGTATTGTTGCCTGGAGAATCCCCGTGGACAGAGGAGCCTGGTGGGCTACAGTCCATGGGGTCACAAAGAGTCAGACAGGATGGAGTGACTAATGACTAAGCACAGCACATGTGTGTGTGATCAGAGTCTTCTGGAAGAATGCTTTGGCATCAGAATAGAGAAGATAGACTACAGCAAAGAGATCACAGAGCTCAGCTCTGGGTGTCTGGTGACTGCCCCTAAGCTTATTTTTACTCACTTTAACCATATGTATACTATGGTAATATATTACACACACACACACACACACACACAAAATCAGTCTATGGGAAGAGTAATCCACAAAAATCCTTCAATGTTGTTACAACACCATGTTAGTGAGAAAACAATCTTTGAAAACCATCCACACAAACAATGGAATCGAGGCTTCTTCCTAGGGTTCCCATTTCCAAGGATGTACCAAACTGTGACGTAGCTTTCAAAGAAGACTTTAACCAATGCCCGGCACTAACCCCCAAACCAAACAAACAAAAAACCCTTGAAAAACAGAAAACTTCCTCAGAAAAGCAGTCTAAGGCTCTCAGTTCTCACCTCCCACATGGGTTTAATTCCTTCTTTGAAGAGATGGAAGTCGCTGTGGCCTGTCAGGTCCCCGGGACGCACCATGTGGCTGTAAAACCTCCAGAACTGCTCCACCTACAGAGAGAGGATGGCAGAGTCAAGAGAGGTGCCTTCTTTTTGTTTGAGCGAATGTGAGATTTAAGAGAAGAGCATAACCATGGAAGACACTCTGCTAGTGGCTCTACTTTTTGGAGGACAGATGCTCATTCTGGGGATTGTGGGGGAAGGACAGCAAGTTGGAGGGAAGCAGACTGTCTATTTTGATAAAAAAATAATGTCATACTGTCGACACAAGAATAAACTCTTTAGATGAGAAATGCCATCCTCAGCCAGGAGCCTTAGTTGGTAAAATGTCAATACACATCCTCCAGTGGAAGCCACAGGAGAATCACCACATGCTCTAGGAGGTCTTTGTTTTACACAATAAATACCACTTAGGTTTGAGGTATATTCAGTGCCATATAACCTCAGCCTGAACCAAATCACTTAAAAAAAATACAGTGTTATTAACAGTGTGAGTTAACTAGTCATTGTGCTCTACAGTACACGCCCAAGACTTATTTATACCTGCAAGTTTGGGCACTTCTTGATCAGAGGTTTACTGTCAAAACACAGCATCAGCTACTCTGAAGTACACTTTATTTCTATGTAGTTACTGAGCATTAAGTGACAGAATCAACCGCATGCACTACGCTATACCATGGTGCCTTTGCTAAGGCCCAGACGGTCCAAAAACCAAGCAGGCCTTAGCTTCCTCACTCAGGGTTTAAGTTTCTCTTCTTAGCTATAAAATTTCTCTTTGCTCCTCCTTCACAGTCCTGTTAGAAAATCATACATATTTCTCTGTAAAATGTATGCTTATTTACATTTATCACACTATTTCTGTTTTTCTCACTAGTGACTGGATAAGAAGAAATTACTTCTTTGTGTGTGTGCATGCGTTCATGCTAAGTCACTCCAGTTGTGTTCAACTCTCTGGGACCTTATGGACTGTAGCCCACCAGGTTCTTCTGTCCATGGGATTGTCCAGGACAAGAATACTACGGTGAGTTGCCATGCCTCCCTCTAGGGAATCTTCCCACCCCAGGGATCGAACTCACATCTCTGGCATCTCCTGCATGGGCAGGTGAGTTTTTTACCACCAGAGCCACTTGGGAAGCCCTTGATCACTTCCCTATTCCTCTGCAATTCACAGAGAACACCTACAAAGTACTGGGCAGTCAAGTGCACACTTTACAAGGAAAGAAAAAATGTGAAACAGTCTGAAGAAAGCAGTTGGCATTTGCCAAGAAACTGCTGAAGAGGCTCTAAATAAACATGAAGCAAGATTCCATAATGTGCAGGTAAAAACAGGTACCATGCAGACAGAGATTCAGGTCACACTCCGAGATCTGGATATCAACTGAGGAGAAACCTTAGACTGTGTGAAATGGTTGTGCCTCTCGATCCTCTAGAGCACAGAAACCTGGGAAACATCTCATGTTACAAGGAAATTAGGAACGAAGCCATCTGCAGGACTTCAACACAGTATTTCACCTCAGCGAGTGCCATGCTTAATGATACCCAGGGATCTGGGTCAGTGAATGGTCGTATGCATACAATGAGCAATAATCTTTTCCCCACCCTAACACAGTGCAAAGAAATGAAGCTTGCCTTCTAGAAACTGTGGCTCACTGTGAATGAGGACTTGATGGAAGTGGTGGGGACAGAGCATACCAATCACCTCCAATCCTCCAGTGGAGCACTGCTTTATTAACAGTTTGGTCTCCACCAATCTGAGAGCCATTCTCTACAATCTTATAGCCAGAATTCTATACCCAAATCACGAGAGATGAAATAATAAGCAGGTCAAGAAACAGTAATACTATAAACCTTTCTTTTTTTTCATTCTCTTAAGGCAACTTGCATTTTTGAAACTTTCAACTGGAACCAAAAAATAAATATTTAAACTTAGAACATGAAGTGCAGAAAAGACTTTAGAAATCATTTCAACTACTTTCTTTGCTTTATAATTGAGAAAACGGTTTCAGAATTTGCCCCAGCTCACAGTCAAGCAGCAGAACTTGTGATCCCCAAGTCCAACACTTTTTCCATTTCAACATACAGTTTTCTTAGTCACCTCAAGAACTTTTAAATGTTGTCAAATACTAGGATCAAGGACCAGTGGGAAATACTACTTTAGCATCATTAGTTTCACAATGTAATTACTTTTCTGTGAGGAATACTGTGGGACATTTCCCAATGCCTCGACTTACATGACATTGGTGAGTATAAAGCAGTATTAACCCAAGATGATGCTGATGATAAAACTGTTCAACTTAGCATATATGCCCAAAGAAAACAAAAACTCTCCTTGCACAAGCTGGGAAAATTCACACATGCTTTTTTTAAGCGGGAAAGAAAAATGCTAGAAGTAGTTGTAATTATGCTAAAATAACTGAACAAAATCCTGAATGGTTCAGTTTCTTCTCTCATCCTAAGTGCTTAACCAGTTGTTCATAACATAATGGCTGCCATTTTACCCGAAATGTCTAGCAACCTATCAAAATTTTTGTGGATTCAGGAGTGTTAGGATGATATTGATAATTTTTTAAATTCTACTGTTCTCTCTTCCAAGAATTCCTTCCTCTTATCACTTGTTCAAATTTTCTGAATTCAATCTTAAACCCATCTTGCTCCCAAAGAGGCTTCTCCAGGCTGAAATGAATCCCTTTATTCTGAACTGCAAGAGCATCCTGGCTATATATGCACCTCCTACTGCCTCCCTGTATTAGAAATTCCTGGGCATGTCTTTATTTCCCTAAGGGCAAGGTTTTTTAGTCATTTTAGAACCCTATTATGCCCCAAATTCATTCAACAAACTTTTCTTGAACCAAACATGTACCAGTGCACAGCTATTTTTAATAATTCAAAAAACTCTAAATTTAACAGTAATGAGAGCACAGGCCAACTAATACAAGATCTTTGCTTGTGGCTGAAATATCAACTCAACACAGTAATCAGATGATATGATTATCATTATATAGGCATATCTGATTAATAAACAGATAAATAAATACAGCCTGTCTCATAAACAAACACTGAAAAACTGGAGCATCCTGGCATGCATTTTGGTATATGGAAGACTGAAAGAATGTAGGCTTTGGAAGGTGGTTTTTACAGCCTACCCAACGTGAGTCTCAATACTGGTTCTGCCACTTAATCAAGTTAATTATAACTGACTTGAGACTTCAGATCAGATATTTAACCCAAGTCTCATTTTTCTCATTTGTAAAATATGGATAACATCACTGACCTCATAGGGCTAGCATAATGATCAAAGGAAACTATACAAAGTGACTATAATTGTGTGCCCTTCCTCTTTACTAATTTAAAGTTTACTGTCTATTATAGTTTCCTTTTCCAATGTCTGCATTTTAAACAGAACGAATACCTTAGTAACTTCAAAAAAATAACGAATCCTGCATTTGATTCTGCCCACACATCAACTGTACGAAATACGTAACAATCTTCACCAAACAAGACTGGCTTTAATCGCAGACAAGCCTCTCAGGGTTTACAACTCTAGTTTTCTGTGAGGAAGATTAGACAGTGTGTGGGCTAACTGTACTGACAGTGCCCACAAAAAAACAGAAACTTCCTTTTCCTTCTAAACACAGAACAAAGATGCTAGTTTATGCATAATCACTGACATATCCAAAACCCAATGTGAAGTTATTAAAACAAAAACTTTTAAATTTTGTTCTCAATTTTATTGACAAGCTTCATGAGGACACCACATACTATAAAATTTTTTATCTCCCGTGACACTTTGCACACAGAAAGGACTCCAAAAATACCTACTTAAACAAAACCAGTATTTTTGTATTATCCCCATCTGATCAATTCCAAAATTTATGCACTTATTGATTCTGACATATGTTGCCTACGGATATATATAATGAGAAACAGAAGAATGAGCCAATTTAGCTTTACAGACTCAGGTCAGTCAACTAAGGAAACCAGAATCCTATGCAGGTTACCAGGAGGGTAGATAAACACAACAATGTAAATACAGACAAGAATGTACTACCGAAGCTTAGTACATTAAACCACCAAGTACTCACAGAGGCAAAGGTGCCAATCTGTTTGATATTCTGTTCATAGCTCTGTGAGCTGGTGGGACGGCCAGGGGTTCTCCTGGAGTACCAGAAAGTGTAGTTATACTGCAGGGGGTGCTCGGCTGGCCCAGGGACGACAGCCTGTGAATCAAAGGAGACGTGTTAATCTGGGAATTTTCCACATGCTCTGAGACTGAGAAAACATTTCCCAGTGTCACCCCTTACCACCTCCATTAAAAAGGATACATCCTCAATTACCTGCAATGGGCTCAAGACTCTGCTTACATGGTAAATTAGTGGTTAACTGTCTCTAAGTTCCTGTAATACTTTCTCTGTTCTTAATGCTTTCAAAACTTTCTACCTCCTACCATGAGTATTTATGCTTGTATCTCATCTCAACATATTCCCAGGCCAAACACTGCCTCCTCTATGACACCCTATCACTTGCTGGCTCATGACACTGGGCAAGTTGCTTAACCAGTTTGTGCCTCAGTTCCTTATCTGCAAAATGGGGAAAACAATAATGACCACCCTCATGGGGCTGCTGAGAGGCTCAAATTAACAGATGTGAAGTGCTTAGTACCATGCCTGACACACAGAAGTACTCAATAAATGACAGCCTAGGATTACTGCTACTGTTAAATTTAAGTGCCTTGATTCATGCTCACTCACCTGTGTCCTCTTAGCATGTAAAATGCCTGCATTTGGAATGTACTAAATACTGTGATAAATGAATTAATGATTGCTTTAATATTTCAAGAAAGAAACTGAGAGTTCTATCTCTTGTTCTCTAAAATTCATTTCTTCCAAGTCACTTTCAGCCTGAATTATTATCGACTAAAGAGTCGAACATTCTAAGTGATGGGCAGGATTTGAAATACTGAGCAGCAGCTTCTGAAGCAACTAACACCCTTGCTAAATTCCAAGATTAATCTCCCCCACCTCAGGCTCAGAGAATGTTGGAAAGCGAGGCAAGAACTCAAGATCCTGTGGCAAAGGGAACCTTCAAAGTCCCAAGATGAACTCCAGTGATGCAACAATCTTTTTTGAGAACAAAATCAGATACTACAAAACCGGGTGTAATCAAGTTCATGAAGTATCCTTCAGATTTCACAAGAACCCCAAGTCCCAAATCCAAAGGCAACGACATCTGTGCAGCACAGAACTCACCTTCCTCTTGCTGCCGCTCTGACTCTTGTCTCGTTCCGTTTTTTCCTTCTCACCATCTTTCTGTGTGCTGTTTTCTTCATTCTGATCATGGTCCCCACTGTCATCATCTTTCAATCTGAATGGAAAGGCAAAACAACAGTACCCCATGATTGAGCTAATTCTTGTTTATCTAACTTATTCTTGCTTATCTAAGGCCACCAAGTCAGATGAACTACCATGTAACCAACCAGAGGTCACTCAAGTCACAAGCAATGAGGTGCCCATGAAAGAGGGAAAAGGAAACAGAAAGACAACTGTGAGGATTAAGCAAAAATGAAAATGTGCATCAGCTAATTTGTGAATTCCAGAAAGCACCATGTTCTAGTTTTCTAAAAGTCTGCACAAAGAAGCAAGAGGTAAACAGTGTAAGGAGTTGTTTTCTATGCCAAAAATAGTCAATAATGAGGAGAATTTCTGGATTATATAACTGTTTCGGCATTTCAAGTGAACCTGAGAAACTTCCCTTTCTATACTGCCACTTCTAACTATCTTTCCTACTGTTCCCCACTGCTAGGGCTAATCATTTAATTTCCAAGCTTAGAACTCTCCACTGTCCTATGCCCTTCCATGTCCACCACGCAGGATATAATACAAGTAAAGATTCTTGTAAGATTCTCTACAACTCGACTGTCAACTGGCATCCTCTTTCTCTCTCCCCACCTCCCAAAGCAACCCAGATTCCCACATCTGTGCTATGTGCAAATACCACCCCTCAGCCTAAGGCACCATCCCTCCCACATCTGTTTTTCCTACTAGATAGAGGGGGCCCTGGGTTGGTGTCTTATTAACCTTTGTATCTTCAGCAACAATGGCAAGAAGATGCTGGATTGATGTTAAATGAAAAAGAAATGAAAGGAAGGAAGAAATGTCTTCTTGCCTTGTAAGTTCAGTCATAAATACATCAGGTGCCACCCTTTCAGGAGCAGTGAACCTACACTCAGTGCTGTGTTTTGGTTTGCTATGACTTCAAACTCACTTATTTATGACTTAAATGAAGATGCTGTTTTGAGATAAGAATGAAGTGTCAGTTCAGTTCAGTCACTCAATCATGTCTGACTCTTTGCAACCTCATGGACTACAGCATGCCAGGCTTCCCGGTCCATCACTAACTCCTGGAGCTTGCTCAAACTCATGTCCATCAAGTCGGTGATGCCATCCAACCATCTCATCCTCTGTTGTCCCCTTCTCCTGCCTTCAATCTTTCCCAGCATGTGGGTCTTTTCCAGTGAGTCAGTTCTTTGCATCAGGTAGCCAAAGTATTGGAGCTTCAGCTTCAGCATCAGTCCTTCCAATGAACACCCAGGACTGATCTTTAGGATGGACTGGTTGGATCTCCTTGCAGTCCAAGGGACTCGCAAGGGTCTTCTCCAACACCACAGTTCAAAAGGATCGCTTCTTCAGCACTCAGCTTCCTTTATAGTCCAACTCTCACATCCACAGATGACTACTGGAAAAACCAAAGCTATGACTAGACAGACCTTCATCACAAAGTAATGTCTCTGCTTTTTAATATGCTATCTAGGTTGTTCATAGCTTTTCTTCCAAGCAGTGTCTTTTAACTTCATGGCGGCAGTCACAATCCGCAGTGATTTTGGAGCCCCCGAAAAATAAAGTCTGTCACTGTTTCCATTGTTTCCCATTTGCCATGAAGTGATGAGACTAGATGTCATGATCTTTGTTTTTTGAATGATGAGCTTTAAGTCAGCTTTTTCACTCTCCTCTTTTACTTTCATCAAGAGGCTCTTTAGTTCTTCTTTGCTTTCTTCCATAAGGGTGATGTCATCTGCATATCTGAAGTTATTGATATTTTTCTCAGCAATCTTGATTCCAGCTTGTGCTTCATCCAGCCTGTCATTTCACATGATGTACTCTGCATACAAGTTAAATAGGCAGGGTGACAATATACAGCCTTGACGTACTCCTTTCCCAATTTGGAACCAGTCTGTTGTTCCATGTCCCGTTCTAACTGTTGCTTCTTGACCTTCATACAGATTTTCAGGAGGCAGGTAAGGTGGTCTAGTATTCCCATCTCTGAGAATTTTCCAGTTTGTTGTGATCCACACAGTCAAAGGCTTTGGTGTAGTCAAAAAGCAGAAGTTGATGTTTTTCTGGAACTCTCTTGCTTTTTCTATGATCCAATGGATGTTGGCAATTTGATCTCTGCCTTTTTCTATATCCAGCTTGAACGAATGAAGTCTATCAGGATATTATGTGTAGTCATTCATACGCACTAGCAGGTCAGTAGGCGAGTAGCCCCTGCTGGGGGCTTATCAGCAAAAACAGATAAAGAAGGAAGCATGGTGAGGGGACATTTAGACTGAGTGTCGTGTGAGGAATATCCGAGTTTCCATCTGAGCAAAGTTGTCCTTTGCTGATCCTGCTCTGTGAAGATCTTGAGCCACGCGCTCCTGCAGTGACCAAGGCGACTCTTTGGTGGGCAGTGGTGTCAACCCTGCAGCAGTCTCTGAAGGGAAGTGACATTAGCTCTGCTGTGGTAAAGCTGCCTCCTTTAGCAGTGGTGACAAAATGTTTAGCAGCCCTGCAAAGATCAGCCTGCCCATCACCACCAATGCTGGAGTCTTCTAGCAATAACTAACTTTTATTTTGGAGCTGGCAGCTGAACTTCAGTCCCTAATTGGCAAAGCCTTCTCACCCAGTGCCAATTCATATAAAGGTACACCTGGAACTAAATTTGGACTGTATTCCTTTCATCTCCCTGTGCCTGGAACAATACTGTGAGTAATCTACCACTGGTTTGGAATATGTTATGCTATTTCTTTACCAGCTAAAAAGACATCAGCATGCTACTGGCTTATGAAATTACTGTAACTCCCACAGTGGACCTGTGTTAAATAAACTACTGGTAAAGAAAATCTATCTCTGAGCATATTCTGTCACCCTCCAAAACAAAATACTAAGGCTCTCAGTGAACGTAAAATTCACTGGATCTAGACAAAAAGATAAATGGAAGGTGAATTCACAAAGATAGTAAGAATGCTGTTAGTCTAGAGCTGGACCATCAACTTATGGATCTTTTCTGAAATCACTTTTCTGGCCCTACCCAATCACACAAAATTTGGCAATTCTAAGGACAGGTACTAGGAGTGGTCAAACTGTAACTCAGACACAGGAATACCTTGGAGCCATTGTGGGTTTGAGTCCACATCACAGCAATAAAGCAAGTATCACAAGAAATGGAGTCACACAGATTGTTTGGTTTCTCAATGCACTTAAAAGTTATGTTGACACTACACTGTAGTCTATTAAGAGGGCATTAGCAATACGTCTAAAAGAAGTATGTATCTTAATTCAAACCTTAGAGTGGACAAACTACATATGTGCTGGGGTGCCCGCTCTGCCCATTTCACAGCCCTAGCTGTAGGATATACTCCAGAGATCATGCACTGTGCCACACCCAGCCCCAGCGCCTCCCTGGCCAAGGCAGGACGATGAAAGGCACTGGTAGCCCAGCCTGGCCAATAACCTATGCCTCAGTGCCTTCCTCAGATTCCTCCCTGAGGTCTTCATCCAGAAGGTGAAAGATCTTACAGATTCAGGAGTTGGGGCAGTCAGTCATATGAGCTGCATGTAAGAAAAGCCATGAGGGAATAAAGACAATAAGCAAAAGCAGAGAAGGCCAGGAGGGGCAAAGGGGATGGAGCAGATGAGCAAAGAGTAGAGAGGAGAACAGGGTTTTTCGTGATGCTGCTATCTCTTTGGCTTCCCTGGACGCCTGGAAGACCTAATGGTGTTTACAATAACTCCTTCCCCGTTATGAAATTTGAGTTCGCAGGGTTTCCTTTTGAAGCGGTGCCTGTCCAAGCATCCAAGTCCCACAACATTTACCAGCACACTGTGTGTATCAGTTATTATGAATACCTGACACACAGTCTTTTCCCTCCTTTCCGTCCAGTGGTACCAACCCGCCTGCAGTCCCCAGCCTCACCCCTCTGTTGTGCTCATCAGCTGGTCTTTCAAAGAGCTCCTCTTCCCCTACTTAATTTGTCCTTTAGGACCCAGACTTTAGGGCCACTTTCTCTTGAAAATATTCCCTGATCTCTCTCTAGGCTGAGTTGGGACCCCTTCTTCTAAACATCCCCATATATTTATAAATGTTTTACTTGTCCTAGCTATACTGTCAGTTTTTTTGTCTCCCGATTACAAATATTTCATGGTTTTTTTTTTTCAGTTGCTTAAGTCCAACATAGCTTCTAATTCTCTTCTTTAGGGAATATCCCAGGGACTCAAACCATTTCTCTCTTCTCAGCCCCCAACTTCCCACTATACCATCTGGGGTCCTTTCCCTTCAATCCTGGTTGAAAAAGAGAACAGTTGCTCTAGCACCTCACATTTTGCCAGCTCCAAGCAAAGGATGTAAGTTCCTTTCTTTGTAGTGCTCTTGCTGCTAACCACTACTGGGAAACAGAAAAATAATATCAAGAATAATTATGTCAGAGAAGAAACAATGCTACTGTGACCCTGGTCCCCAGCTCCCGACTCCCTTCTAAAACTTTAACTGGAAACCCTAATGGACCTTCACCTAATGCTGTTATTTCTTGAGGGTGGAGCTCTGCTCTCTGGGACAACACTTAAGGCAAATCATTCGCACCCTATCTTCAGAGGCTACTCTTTCTTCCCAGCTGGATGCTGGATTTGAGCAAAGATACTATCCAGGTGGAAATATCAGTGCTCCTTAGACTCAGGCAGACAATTAGCATCTGAAGCTATCCATGCTGTGGCGCCTAATCAGCTCACCCAGCTTCTGCCCAGGTATGTCCTCATACTCTGACTAGACAATTCACAGCAGGTAGAAAATTGGGCTAATCCACCTTCACATGTCCAGTATCAGGAAATGCGGGCAGAAAACAAACACATTTAACACATGGATTTCTAAAATCAAGGCAATACAAGGCAGAATAGTAACTGCCAAATAAGTGGTTCAGATAGTAGGCAAGAATGGGCCAAAGCTAACAAAGAGAGAACAGGGACAAAATAAAATCTGGCACCTGGATTTGAAAACCAAGCTCAACCCTGTAGGGACTGCAGTACTTAGAAAGCATCTTAATGGTTTTACATTTAAATAGTAGCAACAGCAATGGCACCTACTGACTTGATGGCAGGGGTGGGGTTAGGGGGCAGATTAGGTTACATATGTAAGCCACACAGAAAAGGATACTAGAACTCCTCTGCAATCTGAGCCCATCAGATTAGACTAGAATACTCAAATCCAAGCACTGGATATGTAGGACTCTGGCAAACTGAAACATGTCCACATGTCCTTAGGAGCCAAGTGGTGAAGAATATAAACCAAACAGTCAACCACTGGCCTACAAACTTGCACTTTTTTGCATTAAAAAAACAAAACAAAACAAAAACCTAAGGGTTGGAGTGCTTTCTTCAATTGTTAATTTCAAATGAAAGAGTTTACCTTTTTTCTGGTGAACAGCTAGAAGACAGACGTTTAAAAAAATCTGGCTCAGTATAATGAATAGTTAATAACTGGAACGAATTAAAAATGACCGAGGTTAGGGACTTCCCAGATGGTCCAGTGGTTGAGATCTCACACTTTCAATGTAGGGGGGCTCAAGTTCAAACTCTGATCAGGGAACTTAAGATCCCACGAGCCACAGGGCACAGCCAGAAGAAAAAAATCCAGGTTAATTTTTGTCAAGATGTGCTTGAACCAACGTTAAACAACCTGAGTATGAATCTCACCATATGTGGCCCTTCCTGCTGTGGGCAACTTATTTCATCTCAGAGAGTCTCATTTTCCCTATTTGTAGAACAAAGTAACAAGATCCCCCTTACAGGGTTGTTTGAATCAGTTAATATGTGAAAAGCAGCAAAGTGCCTATGGAAGCCATTATTGCCATTCTCAAATTAGCTTACTGCAGACCAAGAAATGGAGAAGGAAATGGCAACCCACTCCAGTGTTCTTGCCTGGAGAACCCCAGGGACAGAGGAGCCTGGTGGGTTGCTGGCCATGGGGTCGCAGAGTCGGACACAACTAAAGTGCCTTAGCATGCATGCATTGGAGAAGGCAATGGCAACCCACTCCAGTGTTCTTGCCTGGAGAATCCCAGGACAGAGGAGCCGGGTGGGATCGCACAGAGTCGGATACAATTGAAGCGACTTAGCAACAGCAGCCCAAGAAATGATTTGGGTAGGAATGGGCCAGATGACCCATAAAGTGTCTTGAGATGAAATTTTGATTTCTTCAGTTTGGTGGAGAAAGGAGTATAGGGTTGGCAGAAAGCTCCACTGAGGCAGGACTTCAATCTAGAGCTAAGACTTGCAAGGCTTAAGATGGGGTTTTTGTTGTTCAGTCACTAAGTTGGGTGGGACTCTTTTGCAACCCCATGGACTATAGCCTGCCGGGCTCCTCTGTCCATGGGATTTACCAGGCAAGAATACTGGAGTGGGTTGCCATTGCCTTCTCCAATGCATGCATGCCATTTCCTTCTCCAGCGGATCTTCTGACCCAGGGATCAAACCTGCTTCTCCTGTATTGGTAGGTAGATTCTTTACCAGTGAGCTACCAGGGAAGTCCCTGAAGATGGGGGGTGGGGTAGTGGTAATCAGTATAGAGATGAGCTCAGCTACACAGTGGGCTACAGAAGCAAACTCCCAAGACTTTTTTCAAGTAGTAGAGCCCTTTCAGCAACCAGGAAACATTCCTGAGGAGCTGCCAAGAGTGCTGGAATCCAGGACCTATGAATTTGCAGACCAGCACTCACTGTCGTGGAAAAATTCCTATTTCCCCTCAGCAACAGTGGGTCACAAACTAAATTAATGGTAATTACACTTTACATGTATCTCACTCTATTTAACACTTTACAGAGTACCTTTAAGTGTTGCTGAATGTGATTTGAACCTTATCACACCCAGTGCAGCAGCAAGACACTCATCACTAATGCGGGTTGGATTAAGAGGCTCAGAGACTGGGTAACTTTCCTGCTGTCAAATAGCTGGTAACTGGTGGGTCTGAGGCTGGAAATCTAGGTCTCCGGAAAAGAAGATTGACTGTTAGACTATTAGAAGAAAGCCAAGAACAAAAATCTACCTCCAGCTACAATCGCTGGAGGGAAATGTGCAAAAATATTACGCATTTCCTTTCTGCACCTCCAAACTGTTTGATGCTGAAACTAGCACTCAAACAATAGATAAGGTTCACCCGTTGGTTGAGAAACTGAGTTCTGGGAGAGTGTTTGGAAGGGGGGTAAAAGCGGAGGAAGAAAGGAAGTAGGAAGGATCTCAGGAACACGATGAAAATTCCGTAACAGAGCAGCCGCTGCGCTAAACGCGGCAGCCACATTACCTCACTGCATCCTCGCAACTCTATAACATGGGCTGTTACGGTCCTTACTTTGCAAATGATAAAACTGAGGCTCAGAGGAGAGGTGACCTGCCTAGGCCAGAAAGGTGTGTGAGAAGAGCTGAATTCAGTGGCAGGGCGGCCAGGCTGCGGAAACACCTAAACCGCCGAGGTCTCCGCCCCTCCACGCCGCGGGTAACCCGCACTCGGGCGGGGCGTCCCAAAATCTCCTTCCGGGCCGCACGGCCACCTCCTGCCCACCGGACACCGCACTTCGCCCTGGGTCCATACGACCCTGGGGTCCCCGAGACCCCTGCATCCCTCGTCCCTAACCCCCTCATTCCCGCTGGCCGCCCAGGGCCGGCCAGACCGCAGCCCGAGTCAGAGATTGTGGCCTGTGCCGCAGTTTGCGCCGCCTGCAGTCCGGGCGGGGGTGGGCGCAGGGAACAGTTGGGGGGAAGGGGCCCTGGGGGGCGGCCACGCGCCACTCACGCGTCGAACTTGTTGTTCATCCTCTCGCCGCCACCGTCGCCACTGCCTCACGAAGTGACTTCCGCTCCCCCAGGTCCCTCCGCCTAGGCTCCGGCCACTTCCGGTTGCTCAGGGCACAGCGGAACGTTGGCGCGTTGGCCGCGTAGGGGGCGGATATCCCGGGACGCCTTCCTCCGGTGCAGAGGCGCTCAATTTTGGCGGCGTGAAGTCGGGTCTCGGTTCCTGTCCCGGTCCTTGTTCCTGCCTGCCGCCCGCTCGCCCGCCCTGCTTAGCCGAGGGCGTCCTGAACGCCTCCCGGGGTGGGCTCCGAGAAGGGCAGCTCCGAGTCGCTGAGGGAGCCGGCTCTTGCTACAAATCCCGACTCTACCTGCAGTTGGGCTGCGCGATCCTGAACTGTCTCCTAACCTCCCTGACGCTGTTTCTTTGGTACTAACCATCCTTTGATATACTACCCGTATCTTCACGTCGCCTTGTGGATTGATCGAGATAATCAGTGTCCAGCTCTACACAAGGTAGCCCTCAATAAACAGTAGCTATTGTTCATCTTTGCTTACTTGTGTCAGGAACTACAGAGCTCCTCTCCTCCGGAGGCAGTCAGAGAGGGTGAGAGATTCACCCCAGGTGGCTGAGCTTGTAAGAGGCTTACAGGAACCACAGTGGTCCCTCCATCATCGAATTACCCGCTGCTCCAAATGCACAGCAGTGTGTGCAGCGCGCGCACACACACACACACACGCTCTGGAGTAAATGCAATGAACCTGCTGATGAGTGATTCCGAAAGCCAGCAACCCCGCCTATTTCCAGGGTCTTGCTGCCTCGCCCCAACAATGTCCCGTTGTCGGGACACTGTAACATTTTTAAAATCTTCACCAGCACCTTTGATCCTGTGATGAAGGTAGGTAGGAACTGCTATCTGTGCCCATATTTACAGATGAAGACACAGGTTCAGCAAGCACAAATGTGCTTGTGTCTTGTTACCAGGAGAACTCAGGGCTCAGGCTCCAGCCATACTCTAAAAGCATGGCCTTACCGACACCTCCCCCACCCCACCTGCCCCAAAGACCAGCTAGCCTCCTTGTTTCCTAACTGGGGCCAAGGGAGGCTGGTCAGGGTCTCCTCTCAGGATCCCTACTTCCCTCCCTAGCTCTTTTTTTGTCTTAACCATCCCTTCAGACCAGTGCAAATTCCCTGGCCTTTGAGAAGAGAAGGGAGAGGGGTCCATTTTCCAAGCCATAGTACTTTCTTAGAATGTCTAAGACTGGGTCAGAGTTGGGAATTCTGAACTCCAAACCTTATTTATCCACCATTGTTCTGGCAAGCCCTTTTTACTCTAGGCCCCAATTTGCCCAATCTAAACATAGGGGAATAGTGACTCTTGCTTATCTGTAATGCTGTGAGGAGCTTTTGAGAATGAAAAAAGAGAATAAAACTCATAAAATGTTTGGTGCCTACAGCCCCCATAAAGCAGGCAGATACCACCTGGAGTGGGCTGCCTCCCTTTCAAGAGAGCATTGGCCGCCACTCTTCATTTCTCTCTTGACTCCTCTCCTTCAAGAGGCTGCAGGGAATTTGCAAAAGGGAAGAGAGGCCCAGGCCTGGAGAGCTAGGACCTTGTCTAGCTGGGGACAGGATAAACAGAGTCCTTAGGGTTTCAGAAGTGATGGGAGTTGACAACACTTTGCTGAAGTGAGGAGAGTGCCAGGACAAGCAAGCCAGTGCCACGTGCATGCTGATTCCACTAGCACACTCTGCCCACATCCCAGCCCCATCCACTCCGGGGTTCCAGCTCTGTCTCTTTATTTCCCCAGCTTTTCTCACATATCCCCCAAGAGTGTTTCCCAAAGAGTATACTCATGACCTCAGGAGCAGAACACAGCTGATAAAGACTCCATGTGGCTAGTAGCGATCGGTCAGCTCAGTCAGAGGAGGGCAGATAGGAGCCGGGGTCCCCGGGAAAAGGCAGGGCGGGCACTTGGTTGTAGTGGGCCATGAGGAAGATGCCAGCAGTGCCACAGACAAAGAGTGAGAGCATGGCCAGGAAGCAGACTCGATCCAGCACTCGGCCCACCAGGAACCACTCCTCGTTCCCCTGAGGGTGGAAGGCAGGATAAGAGATGACCAGAGGTGACACCAAGGCTGGATCTCTGGAGCATCCTTAGCCATCCAGCAGGCTTCTGCTCTTCATTTCCATGAGCCCTGCTCACCTACTTCAGGTCTGACCCTGGCCTTTTCCATGGTCCCATGGTGCCACTCCCAATTCCACTTTTTCCATGCCATTGCCATACCATGGCCACCCCACTCATCCTGCCCCCATCTTAGGTCCAAGTTTGCACACCAGGTGTGCAAACCGCACCCCACTCCCTGCTGACTTACACTGTCAAAGTGAGTCTGCTGGTGCCGGGCACGGGCAATGAGGTTGCAGGCCTCCACGCAGGCCTGGATGGCCGGGGCAGCCTGCTTCAGGCTGCCACACCATTCAGGGCTCTTCCCTGACTCTGGACCTTTCTCTGTTGATGATAAAGGGTAAGGTTTGGGAGTAGAACTGGGGAGGAACAGTCTGAAGAAGTGGCTCCCGCTTTCTTAAGGACCCCAGCCCCTCTCTCCCCAAACTGGACGTTTGCCCACCCCTCATCCGCTGTGCCTGGCACCTTGGTCAACAGATGACCCTTCCTATCCATCACATCTCCTGCCTCACCAAGCTTCTCCAGCGCTGCCCTCACCAGCCCATTGCGCTGGCGCTGCCGGAAGAGGAGTTCACTGCGGGGCAGGCAGAGGGCTACCTCCTCCCCAGCTGTGATTGGCCACCCCGAGGAGGATCCATTCTGTAGCCGGGGCCGGGCATCCTGCATGGCCACTGGGGCCAGTGGGCGAACGTGCATCCACAACAGCTGGGGCAAGAGCTGCAGGAACACCTGGAGAGATGTTGTGTGTGGCTTAGCCTAGTGGCCAGCAGACCTTCCTGGGTGACCGGGATTGGGAGCAGAAGGTGACAATTGGCACAAAGGGTTCACATGATGGGGGCCCTGTGGGAGCCTGGCAGGGGCAGTGGCTTGGCCCTGCTACGGCTTACCTGTTCTGTGCCAGACACTGACCCAGGGCCTCCAAACTTTTGTGCATGTCAGAATCACCAGGACACTTGTCATAAACACAAGTTCCTGGGTTCTACCTCTGACCCAGCATATCTGGGGCAGGCTTGGGAATCTGCCTTTGTAACAAGGGTCCCAGCTGACTGCTTCAGGTGGGCTGCAGCTCACACAGGCCCTGGAGCCACTTGACCCAGGCAGAATCCTGCCTCCACTTTCTTGCTGTGCAACCTTGGCAGGGCTACTTAACCTCTCTGTGCCTCAGTTTCCTCATGTATAAACTGGAGATGAGACCAATACCCATTTCACAGAAGTCTTACGAACGTTAAATAAGTTAGTATATGTAATATGCCTACCACAGAGTAAGCACTGTATATTACTCTTGATCCATCTGGGCATGTGCTTCAAGATACACATGGGGCCAGTTTGCTGCTGAACGTGGTGAGGAATGTGCCCAGGGCCAGGAGGGTGTGTGAACAGACAGGGCAGGAAGAGGCTGAAGTAGGCAAGGGTAGGGAGCTTGCCTTGCGGACCCCTCGGGCCATGGAGTGTGTGTGGGGGGACCTCAAAGACACGTTGAGTACGACCACAGCGTTCACGACAATGAGGATGGTCACCACCAGGAGGAAGGTCAGGTACCTGCAGGGCAGGATAGGCAGGTGGTGGGGCTGGCCACCTCATCCCCAGATACCAGTCCCATCCTAGTGGCTGATTCCCCCAAATCCCTGGGATTGAGGAGGGTGGGGAGTGGCAAGAGGGCAAGTACCCTGCATTCCTGAGAAGGGAGGAAAGGAGGTGGGCTCAAGCATGAGAGCCAGCCTTACTTGCTGATGAGTGGCACTGCCTGGGAGGTCTCGGGCACCTTCTTGGCCACGAGGAAGAGGAAGACGGTCTGGGCCAGGAGCACGTTGATGGCGACGGTACACTTCTGGCCCCCCGCTGCCCATGACCAAGAGGCCCTCAGAGCGGATCTCAACCTCCCCACCGTGGGACAGTACCCTCCCCGCAAGGAGTCCGTGCCCCTGGTGCCAGGTTCAGGTGCCATTCGGCCCTCCCTGCTCCCGGTGCCGCTGGCTGGGCCACAGGCCCCCTCCCACCAGCACTAGGTACCCTTGGCAGGAAGGAAGTAGATGAGGATGGCCACGGAGGAGATGAGGACACAGGGTGCGATGATGTTGATGACATAGAAGAGGGGCTTGCGCTGGATGAGCAGGTAGAAGACGACCTTCTGGTGGCCTGCCTCCTCGGCTGGGGCTGCCTCGTCCAGCAGCATCTTGGCTGGCCGGTGCCGGATGGCCCACTCCCCGTTTTCTGCGGGCAGCAGGCGGGGGTGGGCACAGGCACTGGGGGCGGGCCGATCACGGCAGCCCACGGAGCCCAGTGCCCACAGGAAGCACCACTGTGCAGGGATGGATGCTTGACGCCCCTCCCGCCAAAACCGGAGTCACTACCAATGAGGAAGATCAGCTTTGCTGGGCCTTTAAACGACAGGCTTTTACGGTTCACAGGAGCTTTCACCTTGAGTGACACGAGAGGGGGCGTGATCTCGGTCTGGCCCCGCCCCCACAGCCAGGTCCTGCACGGACCTTGGATGGAGATTACCTGTGAAGGCCTCGGGGTCGATGAAAATCCATTCGATGGTCTGACCGTCTTCCTGGCTCAGCTGCAAATTGATCTCATTTGTACTGTAGGTCTGGGACCTGGGAGATGGGGGTGGTAAAGAGGATAAATCGGAGTGTGTGTAGACTCACCCAGGCGGTCACACAGACCGTCACCTGAGGGCAACTGAGGGCAGTTTTGCCTCAAAAAGCTCAGTCAAGAATTTCTGAGTTCTCCACAAAACCTTGGCAGGAGATGGGGCGGGTCGGAGCAGGGCAGGGAGTCTGGCTCTCGAGGTCTGGGGAAATTACAGAGTTTAAGGACCAGGAGGCTGAAGC